TTTTTAATCAAGTTCAGACAGAATTTTGTCAGACTTCAGTTGAGTTTGGATACATTTTTGTTGGATTTCAGTCGGGTTCAGACAGAATTTCGTCAGACTTCAGACTGTTTCAGACAAAATTCTGTCTGAGACAGAATTTTGTGGGGCTACAGTTGAGGTCAGACAGAATATTGTCAGACTGCAGTCGACTTTAGACAGAATTTTGCTACCAAAGACAGAATTTTGTTAAAGATCAAAGAGAATGTTTTCAGGCAACAGTCAAGTTCAAACAGAACTTTGCTGGAGTTTCAGAAAGAACTTTGTCTGACTAAACCCAATTTCTGACAGATTTTCACTGGCCAACAGCCAGGTTTGGATTCTATACTTAATGCTGTGGGTTGGGTCAGACTCGATCAGAGAATGTTCTTGTAAGGCAGCTTCCAAGACAGGAGAAAGAAATGTTTAGAGGCCGTTGGCATGGAATATTCAGTCCTCCCAGGGGCTGTAGCATTTAGAAAGAATTTTGTCAGGCTACATCCAGGTTCAGACAGAATATAATTGGCCTATATCCAGGTACAGATTCTAAACTTGATGCGGTGGAACTGGTCAGATATGGCCCGATAATGTTCCCAGACTGTTTCCAGATCAAAAAATCTGATTAAAGCTCTTTAATGGATGCATAATGATGTAACAGAATATCACACTAAAAGCAAAGAACCAGCAATCAGGCTCTCCTCTGGATGTGTTAATTTCATTCTGTGTAGCATTATCAAAATCTTGGCAGGTTTAGAAGTGGGGCACATCTTCCCTGTTGGACTAGCTGAGGGATGGAAAGAGATCTGCACCAGCAGAGACAACCCTGTCATCAATTATCTCTTATTCCTACCAAGTCCGCCTACAACCAATACGATGCTTGCAGGCAAATGTGTAGAATCCATGTACCTCGGGTGACCTCCAGATACTCAAGCTACATTATTCAACTTAATTTAGTTTAATTTTAACATGCTTCTTCCAACAGGCATTGCCCCAAAGCAGCTTTCCAGAAATGTGGGTCTAGCCCCCTAGTGAGAGTCACCAAGGCCTTCAATAGCAGGAAAAGCTCCCTAAGAAAATGACAGAAAAACACTGAGTCCCAAAAGAAGAACCCATTCTCATCTGTGCTGCACTGCGCTAGTGCAGTCAGGATACAAGGAATAAAAGTTTACAAGGAAGGGATCATATCATCACTTGGATCATACAGAGGAAAAATCCAGGAGATAAAACGACTGTCAAAAATCCGGTGGACCAACTCCCAAGTGGCGCAACCGTCTAAGCGTTGGCCCTATCACCACGATATCATGAGTTTGACCCCTGGTGATGTTACAGCCGTCCTTGGCCGGGAGTCCATGAGAGCACAATTGGCCTCGCTCTCTGGGTGGGTAGGATGGCCCCCCGTCTCCCCCCATCACTCAATGTGATGCTAGTCAGCGCAGGCGTCTGTTAGCTGATGTAAAAGATCTGCCGGTTGGCGCCTCCGATCGTTTTTGGCTGTCCATGATGGGGTGGTGCTCTACAGGTCTCGGAGGAAGCCTGTGCTAGCCTTCGCCCTCCTAGTATCATGTGACTAGGGGAGTCCTAACAAATGGGTGGAATTGGAGACGACTAAACTGCGGGAGAAAATTGGGGAAAAAATACAAATCTGGTGGACTGCATTATTTTAGAACTGGAAGAGGAAATGGCCTCTTGTAAATCTTGGTCTTTAGTCTTGGTTCAACATCCCTACAACACAGAAGTTCCCTTTCCCTGCACTAATGGATCCTTTGCCAAGTAAGGCAGCTTACAAAGCTAGAGAAAGAAATGTTTCGAGGCATTGGCATGGAGAAATTCAAGCCTCCCAGGGGCAGCAGCAGGCACGGGGTGAGTTTGGAGACGGAAAAAGAAGGAGGTGGGAGAGGGAAGAAGGGAGAGAAGAAGAGAGAGAGTGCGATAGAGAGGGTGCAGACGACTAAGTCTTCCCTCTAGCCTCTTCTGCATGGAGGGATTACAGTCATTCATTCTAAACCCACCTTCTCTCCGCAAGAACGTGTACCTTTCATGAGCCTGGCTCACAGTAATCCACACTTACCTCCTTTCCTCCTCAGTAAAGACATAGATACACAAACCGTCATTCATGATGCTATTGTCTGCCCCTCGCTAGAGCGGATTTGCACGGCGATCTGTTAGCGGTGACCCCAACCACCACAGAATTAATGTTGGATGTGGCCTTATTTGAGGTTGCTGAGGTGCAGCACGTTAGGGATCATTTTCAAATCTTTCACAGTCATGAATGCAGCATGTAGTGAATTTGTTAACTGGCTCAGGCCTTTTCATGCTCTTCAGAGGAGAGATGGTGTCCAGCATGCACATATAGTAAAAAAGCTTGGGATACACCCACTCAGTAGAAGGGCTGACCTTATTTTTACTATTTGAAAGTATTGAAAACATATATTATGTAGTCACAAATAAGGTTAAAGAAGTGTACATTATTTAAAGTATCCCAAAAGTGTCGCTTTGCCTTGATGCATCTTTCTACACTATTGGCATTCTCTCAAGCAGCTTTGTGAGGCGCCATCTGTGATGCTTTTCCAACAGGCTCGAAAAACATATGCTGACTACATTTGGGAGGGGAGAGGGGAGGGGTATAAAAAAGGACACTGTATATATATATATATATATATATATATATATATATATACACACACAGATCAGGCATAACATTATGACCACCTCCTTGTTTCTACACTCATTGTCCATTTTATCAGCTCCACTTACTATATAGGTGCACTTTGTAGTTCTACAGTTACAGACTGTAGTCCATCTGTTTCTCTGCATACTTTGTTAGCCCCCTTTTACCCTGTTCTTCAGTGGTCAGGACCCCCATGGACCCTCACAGAGCAGGTACTATTTGGGTGGTGGATCATTCTCAGCACTGCAGTAACACTGACGTGGTGGTGGTGTGTTAGTGTGTGTTGTGCTGGTCAGAGTGGATCAGACACAGAAGGCTGTGTCTGATCCACTCAGATCCACACAGAAGGTTTTTTTTTAAATCTCATCGACCCATATTTTATTCACAATAGAACATAGAACACATATCAGTGATATTATGTACTGTAGATGGTGGGATATCCAAAGTTATCACAATTTTATGTTGAGGAACATTTTTCTGAAATTGTTCCACAATTTTTAGACCCAGTTTTTGGCAGATTGGTGAACCTCTGCCCGTCTTTTGCTTCTGAGACACTCTGCCTCTCTAAAATGCTCTTTTTATACTCAGTCATGTGAGTTAGTTGCAAATTGCTTCTCCAGCTGTTTTTTATTAGTACCACTTACTTTTACAGCCTTTCGTTGCCCCTGTCCAATTTTTTTGAGATGCGGTGCTGCCGTCACGTTCTAAATGAGTTAATATTTTTCATGAAATGGTAAAATGTCTCACTTTCAGTGTCTGATATGTGTTCTATGTTCTATTGTGAATAAAATATGGGTCTATAGATTTACAAATCATTGCATTCTGTTTTAATTTACATTTATTTACATTTTACACAGCGTCCCAACATTTTGTATGTATTTTGAGTATTACTTCATACACTAGCCTGCCATTAGCTGTCCATAACTGTGGTCCAATATGTTTATTACATGTCCCACTGTGCAATCTTTGCCAATATTCTGTGGAAAACTGTGCAACACTAGCTAAGTTCATGTGTTAAAAGTCAGATTATACCTTTTTCTGGTGGCTTGAAATGCAAAAAAATAAATAAATAAAACAGACTGCATTTTGTATTTTGTTTTTTTTTTTTTTACCAATTATGGGGTTTTGCAACTATTCAAATTATACTAAAATGGTAGGAATTTATTGCCTGAAAAAAACAGTAGAAAAAACAGCATTAATGATGAAGGAGCCCATTCTCCAAAATAAACGGTAAGCTTGAGATAAGCAGGTTCATTTTTCTGCCCATTACATGTTACCTAGCTGCACCATTTCAAGGTGGTGAACTGAATTTTTCAGTTATCACTTGATAACTGAAGGCTGGTCCAGGCTAACGTATGTGAGCTAATATGTAATGTAATCAATAAAGTTATCATCTTCACGCTCTATCTCTTTCTCTCTCAGCAGTGGTCACAAAAATTGGACCAAAAATTGTACAGTAAAAACCTGCCATTATGCATCAACTTTACTACATATATTCATCTTAGACACCAATGCAAATCATTTCAGCACAAGTCTTTAGATCGTAAACATCTTGAAGATTATGAAAAACATACGATTCAATCAGGCGTTTCTGAAATTTTGACTGGAAGTTTGAAAGTAGTGATGCTGAAAAAGTCTTGGCCGAGGTTGCGGCTCCTGCAGATGGAAGCCTCCCTCGGCCCTCGCTTCCTGTCTGTTGAGTTGCAGCAAGGAAGCTTAATTTAATGCCAGCCTATTGATTTATGCTCGGGTGTCCCACAGTCATTAAGGTAATTGCATGATCACTTTATAACATCCTCCCGCGGTGGCAGTGGTAATTTGGCACCTCAACCTGTTATGCCGGGGCAGGTCCCATAACTATGTTAGGACTGAAAATCTAGTCCAAAATATCATCTTCCAGACAGTACAAATTGATTTTGCACCTTTTTGACTGACTCCGAAACCCTTTTAGGCTGCCTCTTACCCGGGTTCACTGTTTGATCTATGAAAGGCCCACCAGTCTTAACAGCCACTATCGATCGCCACTCTCCTCCTCCAGCAAGCTGGACTTGAGAAGGTTCTGTGTCACCTTATAATTTCCCCAATGTTCTCGCTCACACTTTTACAGGCTGTGGTCCGACCGCACCTTCAGAGGTTGTGGTGCACAAGAATTTCAATTTCCTCAGGTGAGAAATGACTGAATGCGGTACAGTGCAATTCTTTGTCTTGGAGCCATTCGTCTCGAAAACAAGAACCATAAGTTTCCAATCCATTAAAAGTTAAGAAAGTTTGAGTTAAACTTACGACTCTTGCGAGTTCGATATTGGCGATTGCTAACCTTGCGGTCCTGGGCTTTTGAGGTAAAGACCGGCATACGGCAGGCCAGCAGTGGACACCAGAAGGGAGTCTTCGTTCTACCGTCATCTTCTGCAGGGATCCAGCCTGGTGTGTTCTCCTCCCCTTGAAAGAGGGAAAGTGATTTTAAACTACACAGAGTAAACATCTCTGTAGTAGACCAGTTAGAAGACTTCTGAAACCAGTGAAACCATTAATCAGACAAGAACACAAACAAACAAACAAAAAAAAACACATTCACAAAATACAGAATCTTAATCACTTTCTAGGCAAAAAACAATTTGCAAACACAAGAAATTCATTTTGGTGAAAATGGCGTTTACATCAATACATAACACAAACAGCAAACAAATAAATACAATGCACTACAAAGGAAATACGCTTTATGATAGTATAAACTGTGGTAACACTGAGAAAACGTCTTTTTTTCAGGGATGGACATTTCAGACAAACTTGACATTAAAAATTAAAAAAAAATTGACATTTTGAATATCACATAGGACTCTTAACCCTTTAAATAGCCAGGGCGTACCAGTTAGTCCAAAGTTTTGTGACACACTTCTATAACCTAATAATAGTTCAGCCAGTTTAAACTAAAGTCCCTGTAGTTACTGAATAATAAGACTTAGTGTGTAATAAGCGTGGGATTTTGAGGGGTTAAGATCATAAGCTACAGCACAACACAGTATATGATGTGCAGCCAGAAATGCAGATAAAAAGGACACATACTAATGCTTTTTAGTTGCTGTGTGGTGCTTTTCCTTCAGTATGTGGTAAACTTCAGCCGGCTGCAGTAGTCTTTCTATTGGCTTTTCCCAAAGTTCCCACAGTGGGTGTTTTTGCTTGTACACTAACATGATATATTTCCAAATTCATCAAAAGTAAGACTGTGAGTGTGCAGATATGTGCTGTATCTTTGTCGGACATGCAGTAAGAGAACAACTGTTGTAATTCCCAACTTAAAATAAGCAGGATTTCAGAAGCGAACCAATTCTAATCTGTGATCAAAATAGCACAACACCTGGTGTAGCAGTACAAACCATCCAGTTAAAGAAAGAAATCACATGGTCAGCAGCTTAGCCCTAAAAGATTACCTTAGACACCTTAAATGATGTGCAGTTGCATGCAAAAGTTTGAATACCCCTGGTCATATCATGTTTGGATGACTATCACGTCGTCTTTAGTGAACAAAATTAAATACGGCATTTTTCTTCAAATTTTAGTACTGATATTTATTTCAGTAACATTCAGCATATGATTATGCATTCTCTGTAGAGGATATGTTACTTATTTTCACAAAATACATAAAACATGTACTGCACGATAGTCCAATATGCACGTGATTAGACTTACAATGCTTGGTATGCATGATTTAGGCAATTTCATAATTACGTATTAACAATTTTGCCCAATCCCAGCCCATGATTAATCCATATGACTGAAATGATACAGCGATTGTTCATGTTTGAGATAAAAAATTACTGATCTGCTCCCTTAAGTTGGTGTTTAATTCACTAATTCACACAGAAGTCCTTTAATAATGAACACAATGTGAATAGAGCCTCACATTAAGCTTCTTCTTTTAACAACTCAATTCCGTACTTACGCCCATTGAATGACTAAGGAAGTTTGTATGGAAGGAAGAATGTTTTTGGAACTCTTGCATGTGAGCGAGCGAGAAAAGGAGATGCTGGCCTGTCAGCATGGGTTTCTCACTGTAACACAGTTCTAGGCCTTTCACCAGGGCTGGGACCTGATCCCAAAAACAAACCTCATTTCCAGGCATTCGGCAATCTAGAGTTGACACCAAAGCTTTGGACACACAGTGGCGTTCAAGTTTGCCCACACCGGCACATACAAGCAGAGTGAGACATTCTGCCCTCACTGTGTAGAACAGTGGTGTCAAACTCAACCACTATAAAGGCCTTATTAAAAATCTCAACAAATCTGTTGGCCAGCTGTGTTTATTTTATTTTTACTTAACATTTTGACCCCAAATGGAATGGCAAAAAAGGGCACTGATTTCTTGAACAAGATATTTTAAATAAAAACAAATTGATTTATGTAAAACGATAGACTACATTAGCTGCAGATACCTCTTATATATTCCCAATGCACAGCGGGTAAAACTGCCCATTCACTTGAACCAGATGCCTTTTTTTTGTTTGTTTGTTGTTGTGCTGTCCCATAGATCATTTTTAGGGAGGGGTTGTAGTGCATGCTGGGAACTGTAGTGCAGCTCATGGTGAAATGGGCTAATATTAATAGAAAATTAAAATCATTTTGCGGGCCAAATAGGATTGTGTCACAGGCCTGACTTGGCCCGTGGGCCTGTGTTTGACACATGGGGTAGACAGTCTATCTGAAAAATACATAATCTAAAACATAAGCATTGATCGTCCAGGTTTGTTTTACTTTAGATAAAGTGGAAAAAAGTAAAATGCAAAATTTGTAATAAAAAAAAAAATTGGCTAACAAACAGCATTTGGTACAACCATCCTGCCTCCATTAGTCAGCAAGTTAATTTAGCTAGCGGGAATTTTCCAAATTTCCTTGCTCAAAGATCAAACATGCTTATTACTGTACTCTTTATTTTTGCCAGATGTCCTACTTTATGTCTTGATTTTTGGAATTGGAGCTTGTTGTGTGGAATCAACTCTTGGCATCAACACCATCGATTCCTGTCAGTCGGAATGACTCCAGAATTTCTGGAAAAAAACAGTCCTATCTCTCACACAGCTGTCATCGAAATGTTAAAGCTCTTTACCGATATTTCCGAAACACCATGCTCTAGAATGTCACCAATGCCTTGAATGGTGGGAAACGTACTTAACCTAAGAGCACTTTGATGCGGTATTCAGAACATTTCGTGTGATTTTGCATATTTAAGAAATGGGACAAACTTGGAATCTTCCACAAGAACATTCAAACAAGTACACAAAACTGAATATAACCATCTAAAATCACATATAACCCTGAGACAGGCCACCTGCTTCTTTCTTTAGACTAAATAGATAAAAAACTGTGACCAAAACATAAGCCACAGGTTCTACAGTATCCTCTGGTGAAGTCTAAAGTTCAGAGAGTTTTTTTTTTTCAGGTTAGAATAAAAAAAAAAACAATCAATCATTACTTCTGGCTCGTCCCTACACTCTCAGAAATAAAGGTTCGAAACTCAGTACCTTCAGTCAGGGAGCATAACTGAACCATAATCCACTGAAATGATATGTTCTAAGCTGTACTGACTCCACACACCCCGTCTCGTCTCCAGGACTTTATTTTACTGTTCTGTTTAAAACATTCGGTTATGAAAAGCTACAAATACGAACTTTTCACCTGGAAAAACTTATTTAAGGTTCACAATCAGACCTTAAAACCACTCTTGAACCTTTGAGGGAACATTTACATTGTTCGTACCTTAATGAACGAAACGTTCCTGCACAGAACCTTTATTTCTAACAGTGCACCCTGCATGACCGTTGACTAATCGGTGCTGCTCTAGAAGCGGATGCCCAGAGAGCTTCCAGGCAAATGAACCTCCTTGAGAAGCAACACTTCGCCAGGTGTCCGTCTCAGCATGCAAACCAGCAACCTCTGGATTTCAATTAATGAAGTCTAAACTCCGGTGGCACCAGCTACCTATGACTCTCCTTTCCAGCCGCTTTGACAGGTGTTTTCATTTACAAAAGCGAAAGGCCCAAGCCTGCCAGCATCCCCTCCATTCAGCACATCAGTAATTACCCATCATGAGTAACTAAAATGTTATTGTGCCTGCAATTAAACAGCTTGCATTCATTTACTCCCCGTGTCTTTCCACGCACATCAACATGCAATCAGCAACAGACATAACAATCAGAGGAATCCAAAATAAAAAAGAAAAACAACATCGTGGGATGTTAAACGGCTCATTTGGTTCGAAGGTGTGGAGAGCGCACCACTTCGTTTGACAGGAGAGTGTCGGGTCATCTTGCTGAGGTCAGAGAGGCAGACGTGGCGGAAGACTTAAGGGCCAATTAGCTTGAGTTTAGTCTAGCCGTCTCTGTTCCAGTTTAGATGGGTTTCATTTAGGAAGATGCGCACTCCAGTGAAAAAGTGTCAATTTAAGGAGTCTACATATCCGTGTAAGGGGGTTTAATGGCCTACACACCCTTAGGGGAAGTCTGCACTTTGATTTTGGTATCTTTTCTACGTCTCTCGCTCATCTGGAAGCAAAGTTAGTCTGATATCAATACAGGGAATGCACTGCATCAACAAACAATGGTAGACGTCATTTGTCCTCCCTTCCAATTAATCGCAAGACAATATTTTGTTAAAAGAAAAGTTTGTGAAGAAAACAAATGAACATGATTTATCACTTACCACAGATGCAGTCATTTAGCCGAGAAATGTGTGTTCTTTAGTTTACAAAGGGAGATGGAAATGTTGGTAACAAACATTGGACTGTTAGCAATCTAATCTGGGTAAACACCTGCCAATATTTAAATTTATTTGCTTCAAAAATCTATCAAAGACTACAGAAAAACAAGTTTAAAAAAGATTTAGTAAAATGGCATAAATAGACTATATTTAAACATTTTAGCTAGAATTGCAACTACATTATTAACCACATTACTGTCCCGCTTTGTAGTACTATGCTTTCAGATTGGACGGCTGGGCGTTGTACATCAAAACTACACATTTATTTGTTTTTAGCACAGTTAAGGCCTCATAACTGGAAGACACTTAGCTAGATGTCGCATCTCGAATAACGATAAGCTACAAAAAAGGTGATGTATAAACAAAACAAAGAAATCTAGGTGTAGCACAGTATATTTGAATTGAGCATGATATACACTGTTAGAAATAAAGGTTCTGCGCAGGTACATTTTTCTTTAATCAAGGTATAAACAGTGTAAATGTTCCCTCAAAGGTACAACAGTGGTTTTAAGGTCTGATTGTGAACCTTAAATAAGTTTTTCCAGGTGAAAAGTTCGTATTTGTACCTTTTCATAACCGAATGTTTTAAACAGAACAGTAAAATAAAGTCCTGGAGACGAGACGGGGTGTGTGGAGTCAGTACAGCTTAGAACATATCATTTCAGTGGATTATGGTTCAGTTATGTTCC